TTGTCCGTGTAATCGCGTCCTTTCGTTTTATTGTTTTGATAACATAACGGGCGGAAGGTTATCGTAACTTTATCGATCCTATGTACGTAAATTGTAAGATTTGTTTTTTGACGAAATCAAAAGTAATAAAATAACGAAGTAACAAAAACAGTTTTTAATTAAAGTGCCAGATATGGGTCTCGGAGCAGAGTTCATGTCATGTCAAGGGCAATCAAAAACGATAGGCAGCGGCTTGGCTTTGCCCCTACCATTGCTGAAGCCCATGGGCGACGGTAACCACTCACCATCAGGTGCGCTGTATGCTCGTCAGCCTATAAGGGCAATAAAAAAAAAGCCGAAACCGTTGCGGCTCCTAGCAGTGGCTTTCCAGATATTTACGTGTACGATTTTTTTGTTGTGTTTCCTACCTATTCTGTTAACCTCGAGGGGTTATTCTAGATTCACCGAGCTAGTAGGTGAGCTCACGGGGTTCAAAGCTGACGTTGTTGCTATCTATTTCTACCGTGAAGCAGTAATGCGTTTCGGTCTGAAGGGCAGGGCAGCCGTTGTAACTATACTGAGATCTTAGAACTTATATCTCAAGGTGGGTAGCGCATTTACGTTGTAGATGTCTATGGGCTCCAGTAACCACTTAACACCAGGTGGACTGTGAGTTCGTCCACCCATCTAAGCAATAAAAAAAAAACACGAAAACTAGCAAGAGCCGTGCTTCACGGAATCTACCACCGGATCGGAAACGCGACCCACTGAGAAGATCCGGCGAGAAACTCGGTGGGCTGTGTCTGTGGGTTAATTTGCTCGTATCGTACGATCAGGCTATGGAATGAACTCTGCCCGATGGTGATTCCGAAGTGGTATGAAAACTAGTACTCTGTGACTGTACCCTCTCAGGATTAGCTAAGCTAAGGTCTAGGTCACTGTGAGCGACAGGAACCACTTTTCCGTAGATTAGGCCGGATACCACTACCTACAAAGTTAATTAAATAAATAAATAGACAATTCAATTTTTTAGGTTATTGTTAACTGACTCAGAATTGTAACTTATATAAAAATGACAACTGTTTTTATATTTGTTATCATAAATATACCGTCGATTTATTTCGTGAGGCATTAATGCGTTTCGGTATGAAGAGTGGGGTAGCTGTTGTACTATAAAAACTGAGACTTAGATCTCATGTCTCAAGGAGGGTGGTGGCATTTACGTCTATGGGCTCTGGTAACCAATCGAACACCGGGTAACCGGGTCAGTTCGTCTACCCATCTAATAAATAAATGAATGGGTTATTTAATTTTCTCTTTCTTACTGTATATACATCATTTACATATTTAAAATAATAAATATTGAATACACATGTCTGTTTACTTGCGATAGTGAAGTAAAAATAAAAATTTACTTCACTTTAAAAAAGACTCTCAATAAAGTTTAAATTATTCTTCTTAATAAAAATTCTATAAATTATCGCCATGTATTAACTTCATCGCAGCTACGCACTTCTTGAATCTTTCACTTCATCAACGAGGGTTAACTGGAAGAGAATGCCTGCATGGCTAAGTTCGCCTTTGTACAATATTTTGTGCAATAAAGAATTTTCATTCATTCATTGTTTTTACTTTTTATGGAAGCATACTCGTAAATCGTTTTCTAACAATATGAAAACAAAGTATAATGTTAGCTCCGGTTCGAACCATAAATATTATTTAATAGCTTTCACGTCATTTATTCTTGACGGTTTTTCTTTATCTTAAAATAGTACTAAACTATGCCCAAGTAGTTCATTTTATAATCAATTGTCTGTGGCAGACGTCTTATTAGAGCTCATCGAAACCGCTATGTAAATATCCCTGCGTCACTTGACATTAAAAGTTCAAGTCTACTGTTTTGCCCATAGTAGTCTACAGTATGGGTGATAGCCACCCATACTGTTTAGATATGGATTTCTATAACGTCTTGTTACCAGTATTTAAGATGGGAATTTGGGTGAAGGATAATTATTAGTGAAGATATCTCAACTACGGACGGATGACAGCAAAAATAATAGCAGTAACTTGAGATCGGCATCCCGTACCCATATCTTCATATTAACATCCTTGGTTCGTTGACCTAATTCGAAGAGATGAACTATTAAGACACGTAACTGGTGTGGTGTTTTGGTGTAACAGCTTTGTGTAACAATAATGCATGTTCGCAGGTTCAAAATTGGGCTCGCATCATCTGTAACACTCATAATACTTGAGCTAGCGAACTTCATGTATGGAATAACAATGTCAACCCCGTTCGTTTGTCTAATATGTATCCTTTTTGTCATTAACATTACAACGGCCGCTTCTAAACGCTTTTTTGGTGGTCTACTGGCTGGTACGAGTAGGGTCGTTACTCAGCCCCGAAAATTTTGTGAGTTTGGTGTTTGTTTCAATGTCCATTGCAAAAGCTTTGAACCGCCTTTAAATTTTGTGTTCGAACAGTGCTTTACAAACACCACTTTTGCATCTACACTATAAACATAATATAAATTATAATAAAGATATTTGCGAAAGTTTCAAAACAAGTCCTAAAAAGTGCTTTAACTGGGAAATTTGTAAGGCCTGTATAAATCGAAGGTGTGTGAAAAAGTGATGAACGCGCTATTAACTATCTGAGTTATTAGCTCTTTTGCTTCAAATGCTTCTCACCATTTATAATGAAATCATTTCATGTGCAATTTTAGTTAAAAATAATCACATATTTAAGAATAGCACCATTGTCACTAAATCTGCGAACATGTGCACTTGCAATCTGTTTTAATTGAAACAATGTCTTGATGGTTCATTGGTGGTAAGAAGTTTTTGAACATCAATATCTTTTCTCCCTCTTAGTGATTCGAAAGTGGACTCTTGACCCTAGTCATGTGATTAATAAATATGTTGTAATTTGGGAATAATAGTAACAATGTGTTTTAACCATTGCATTATCAGTTGCGGCAACTTCAAACATAAGTGAAACAGACAAATATTTCTCGGTTCACTCTTTTTTCTAAATAGGAGAATAGAAAAGTGGCCAAATAAAAATTGAGAAACTTTTCAATTTGAAGCCGGTTAATAATTTCAATGAAAATACCAAAATCAGTTGCCATTAGAACGCTTAGGAGCTCTAGAGACGTATTTTGTTGAATACACAGTGTGCCGTGTCGATATCAATATGATTCCTTGAATCAGTAATTCAGCTGCAGCAACGCACGCCGGAGGATCCCTGGCTCTGACGTATTTCGTCTTCACCGGATGGCTTTGCAACGCGTACTGGCCGATTTATGTCGTGTGCACGGTTTTTCCGTGCGCCGTCGACGGAGCGAACGCGCTACTAACGGTTTGCCAGAAGAAGTTTTAGAAGCGACATTAGGAACACCGTGTTTTTCTATATAAAACTAATTTAGTCTCTCTCTATAAAACTAATCTAGTCTTTCAATTTTTACGAAATAATTATAGTTTAAACGAACGAAATGTATCAAATAAACTTTTCGCAAATTGTACTGATTGTGTAATATGTAGATGCATGAAATATATTACCTAAAAAAAAAACATTTTGATAAACTTCCATCCCATATTTTGGCTAATGCTTAAGCACGTACTGTATGCGCGCGAGTTCATGTCTATCGGGGCTAGAGGCGACGCGCGGGGACAGCTCGCCCCGCCTTCGCCCGCCTGCCCGCATTTGTCTGACGTCGAGTGTTGTCCGTGTCCGAGTGACGGTTGTGACGCGCGTTTATTGATATCGAAAATTTACGCTAACACTATTATGTTATTTAACCATGACTACTCCGCTTCCAACAAGTTCAGATAGAAAAAAAAACCTATTAAAAAAAGATATATACTGATTCCAACTCTGATCTGTCGGTTGTCTTTTCATTCGATAGTGATTGAATTGGAATTTAAAAATATTTTTCTCTATTAGAAATAAACAAGTAATTACTTATCACATTTATTTTATTTAATAAATTGCAAAAGTTACATTGAACCAAATTGACAGCTGTTGACTAAATCGGTAGTTAGTATCGACATTATCATAATTAATTAGGTCACAGCACTATCGCATTCCTCAGGATGGACATGAACTCGCGCGTCCACAGTAGTCACTAGTGACAATTTTAAAGGTCACCATTTCTGTTTTATGACGTTCCATTTAAAGTAATTACAGTTAAAACCGTTTACTGCGACATCGTTTAGAACAACATGCCGGTTATAATAACCTAGAACAAAGGTCCCGGCTGAATGCTATATGACCAGTATGTACATACTTGCACGATACACATTAAGCATCACCGGTTGTTACGACTATCGGTTTTTACGACTGAATATGAGCAGTCCCTTCGATGTCGTTATAACAGATTTTGACTGTATTAACATTTTTCGTAATTTTAGTATAAAGTACTTTACATTCTTTACATTCAAAGTAACTGATTCTGAATTTGACACATTCAAAAATGTATTTTTGATAATAAAATTACTAGTCATGTAAGTCATACAATATTCATATGTAAGGCATTGATAATATACCGTGATCTCAATTATTTTGTAATAACTTAATATTTAGGGTGTTAAGTGCATAGTTAGTTACGCGATATTCGATATCTGTACGAATTTAGATTTATGTAAACAGCGAGTTTAGTACAATAAACTTTGCGTTATATATAAAAGGGTTTTATTTTTAAATAGTTTTAAATTTTCATATTAAACACGTTGACTGTCATGTAGGTTACTGGTGCCCTACACGGCGCCCTGAAATAATTATGTCCATTTCTCTCAATTTTCTTACTAAGGCGCCGGAATATTTAAACGCGTTACTGCTTCACGGCAGAGATAGGCAGGGTTGTGGTACCTGCCCGTGCGGACTCAAAATACATCCTACCACCAGTGCCCCGCTTAGGGCACCGGTGACCTACATGGCAGTCGAAGTGTTAATGCCCTTTGCCATTAACCCTTTATATACCTAAGGTTAATGTAATATATTTGGTAGTATTTAGTCCAATATGTGTGAACCGTGGACTTCAAAGGGTTAATGCTGTCTAGGAAAAACGGTGACCACTCATCAAACGGGTTTCACGCATAAAGGAACTTCATGGTGGGATCAATGATAAATTCAATATTTCAGCTATAATAGGTACCTAATTCAAATATAGCTATCGATATTTGTTCAGTAAACGATATACATAAGTTGCACATATTGGCAGATAGTCAGATCCTTCTTGGTCGTAAATGGTGACTATGGTAGTTTTCCAATTACAGAGCATAATGCGACTCAGTGGCGCACAATGCCGAATTATGCTGAAGCTTAATTGGAACGTGAATTAGTTTTCAAATGCATCAGCAGAGTGCGCTAAGTTAGCACAGTTTTAATTAACATTGATTATTATTAAGAAACTACGACGAAACGAAAGCCTTACAAATTTTTTCAACATTAAATAATATTACTAACGATAACATAAAAAAAATTTCGATCAATGCCAACTTCAAGAAAAAACACTTGTCCATTTTCTGTCACTGAGTTGGTATCAATTGCGAGCATCACGCGAGAGCAGTACTTTTGAGAGTGCTCGATTGTACGAAGCGTTGCTGTAGTTGGAACATTCAACGTTGAGCATTATGCCGCATAATGCGCTCTAGTGCTGTAATTGGAAAACTACCTATAGTTCATGGACATCTGCAATCCAAGCCTTAAACTACTGTTAAGGGCGCTTCAAACCTCAATAGGACAGTATTAGAGTAATATGAATATCGTAATTAGTGATTTTATTTTGCTTTTCCTTTACTGTCAGAGTGTAATGAGAGTTGTCTTAACTTAAATATCGATTGTAAAAACTGGAGTGTGTTTTAAGTAACACGGCATTTGTTTTTGGAGGAGAAGTTTATTTCCAATTAAAATGATAAATCTCTATAGGTCTACTAAACCTCAAGTTGCTCTCTACCGACAGACCTTGCTACATTAAAAGTGTTATTATAGACCCCATTAACAAGTTAGTGTCGACCTGTATTTTTCAGGTATTCAATGAGAACCAGCATTGGACTAAGACGAACGAGTACACAGCCACCGGGTGGTCGTTTTATTTGATATTGGCCGGAGTCATCACCACCATCGGATCATCCGTCCCTGTAGGATATAATATCGGTGTTGTTAATACACCGGCTGAGGTAATTTTCGACGGAATTATACAAGCAATCGGGTTTAGTTACAAGTTTTTATTTACCTATCCAACTACTACCGTAGAATCGATATTACTGAATTGCGATGGACTGTGTGTAATGTGTTTAAAGACAAAAAAATATGCTGCCTTTGAAACCAATTGCCAGTTAATTGAAAAGCGAACAATATATTTATTTATTATTTGAAGAGGAACATGTCGTAGCCCTGGCAGATAGAAGTGGAACGTGGAATGGATAAGTACATACTGTTACGCGCTGGGGTTCGGGATAAATAAAATTTCATTCAATTTCGGGATAAATAGAATTATCGAGAATATTCTACACATCTCTAGTAATCGTTTCCGCTATCTGTCAATAGATGGCGTTCTACTTCTCGAGCGTTCTGGGCGCTACTAGATCCTTCGATATTCGTTCGACTATTCAGAGATTCAGAGATTCAGAGAGAGAGTTACTATATCGGCGTAACAATACCAAGAATTTGTGATGTTATCGCAAATAGCAATTCGCGCTAAACAACCATTTCAAAAATTCATAGAGAAAAGAAATGTAATATTTAGGTGAAATTGAGAAAAAAATAGCTCTTTGATTCTAGGTGATAAAACAATTCTGTAATGAAAGTTTCATCAGCCGTTACGATGTAGTGCTGGACGAGCAATGGATGAATGTTCTTTGGTCTTCGGTGGTGTCTATCTTCATCGTCGGCGGGTGTACCGGCTCTATACTTGGCTCGTACTTAGCTGATAGCCTCGGAAGGTAAGTAGGCTTGGGAAAAGACATCTCTTAATAATCATGAAGGGGTTAAAAGTCGCGGCGAGCGTCTCGCTAGTTTTAGTCAAGAGGTCAAACGTGAAATTTTAAAGTTTAAACAATCTTTAACAACGATTTGTACTTACACTCAGATCATATGTTTTTTTTTATTGCTTAGATGGGTGGACGAGCTCACAGCCCACCTGGTGTTAAGTGGTTACTGAAGTCCATAGATATCTACAACGTAAATGCGCTACCCACGTTGAGATATCAGTTCTAAGGTCTCAGTATAGTTACATACACAGTATACAGTAAGTATAGTTTCATATACAATTTCTTAACAAAAGCTAAACTCAAGGAGCAAGTTAAACATTGCAACTAACACTCAGAGCATATGTTTCATATACAATTTCTTAACAAAAGCTAAACTCAAGGAACAAGTCAAACATTGCAACTTACACTCTGAGCATATGTTTCATATGCAATTTTTAACAAAAGCTAAACTCAAGGAACAAGTCAAACATTGCAATAGAACAGATTTAAAGATTACAGTTAGTCAAACGGTTTTATATATTTAATTATTTCGTTGTCAATTGATAAATTTTTGCTTATCTTTCTTCTTTTTTTTTCAGAAAAATGGCAACGATCGCTACTGGCGCGCTATGGATCGCGGGAGCTTTGCTCTTCTTACTATGCCGGACGGCTAATTCAGTGGAGATGCTTATAATCGGGAGACTGTTAGTCGGTCTAGCCGGAGGTACGTGTTCGATATATTTTTTTAGGCAACTATTAACCAAACGACGTGAACTAATGTCAAGTGATTTTGTTATTCTAATATTTACAGCACTTATCGTATCGAAGTTTAAAGAGTTTAAAGAGCTCAAATTTAAAGAGCTTTATGCTTTCGTTTAAGAGTCATGTAATCTCTCTGGAAGTCAGTAGGTACTTACATTAATTAATATTCGAAACGATCTTTCTCGAAAATCGATATTCTCGAAATATCGATTTCATTCATCTTTTTCCTACTAGTGGGTGACTAATTCCATAACGAAACTGAATCAAAGGAGTGAAATTTTTGCTACAGGATTAGTTTTTAATTTGGCGATTCGACAATTGGCGTCTCAACAATTGGCATCAGCAATACTGTGTACGTATTCGAGAACGTTTTTAGACGAAGACACGATAGCGCAATTTAAAGTAGTTTTCCTGATTGCTTGCTTAGGGGGCGTTGAGATGTTCTAAGGGGGGGAGAGGATCGACATATCCTCTTCTTTTTTTCCCTACCTATTGGCTGGTAGCCTAGGATGCTATTCCAGCTACGCCCGGACGGGTAGGTGAGCTCACGGACTCAACCTGAGAGAGTTTGCTAACACTAGCCCTAGCAAGTGCAGTGCTTCACAGAATCTACCACCGGATCGGAATCGCGATCCACTGAGAAGATTCGCGAGAAACTCAGTGGGCTAAAAATTCTCAAAAATGCCTCACTTAATTAATGGTCGCCCCTTAAAAGTTGACTAGAAGGTTTCTTGTTTATAATTTTATTGATTAAATGGTTAAGTGGTTACCGAAACATCGTGAAGCCGCCACTGACCTTGAGACATGAGGTCTACGTCTCAATTTATATCGTCTGTGTCACCCTTCAAGCGGAAACTGCTTTTTGGCAGAAATACAGTGGAGGTACCTACCCGTGCGGGCTTCGAGTTTATCCTATAAGTCCAAATTATGAGTTGTTTCATTATCCAGGTCTGACTACCAGCATAGTTCCCATGTACCTGACGGAGCTGGCGCCGCCCAGACTAACTGGGGCCATGGGTGTCGCGTGTCCCATGGGGGTCAACGTGGGTGTTCTTGTTGGGCAAGTTATGGGATTGAATTTTTTGTTGGGTAAGTTTCAAACAAATAACCGGTAACTTAACGAGATTCTCTTTAGGGTATTTTCGCAGTCTTATGGGCATTTCCGAAACCTATCTTTTTTGCCTTGAGGATAAAGTCACTCCAGCTCCCATGGCTTCATGAGCCAATCTGAGACTCACGCAGCTGTCGTCTCGTGGGAGGACGATCTAAAACAGCGATTGTTCACTATGGGAACACTTCACTGGATGCGACCAGCTTCGGATTTCGAAGATGGACAACTGAGGTCATACCTATATTGTCTATTTCACTTGCCATCATGATGTTGATGATGATGATGCCTTCATCGGAGCAGAGTTCATCCTTACTTTTTTTTAAGCATAGATGGGTGGACGAGCTCACAGCCCACCTGGTGCTAAATGGTTACTGGAGCCCATAGACATCAATAACGTAAATGCCGCCACCCACCTTGAGATATAAGTTCTAAGGTCTCAGTATAGTTACAACGGCTGCCCCACCCTCCAAACCGAAACGCATTACTGCTTCACGGCAGAAATAGGCAGGGTGGTGGTACCTACCCGTGCGGACTCACAAGATGTCCTACCACCAGTAATTACGCAAATTATAATTTTGCGGGTTTGATTTTTATTACACGATGTTATTCCTTCACCGTGGAAGTCAATTGTGAACAATTGTTTAGTACGTATTTCGTCAGAAAAATAGGTACCCGCCTGCGGGATTCGAACACCATTGCATCGCTACACACGAATGCACCGGACGTTTTATCCTTTAGTCCACGACGACTTCAAATTGTAAAGTATTGTTGATTAAAATTCAAAGAGAGGTTATGTTACAGCAAAACACGTTAAATGATAGCTGTTTCAAGTTAATAGTGTCGGGGACAACTTAATACTGTCCTACCTACAAAATCTCTCGTATAAACGCTACGAATTAATAGCTTAATAATAAGTTAGTATAGCTTGGTCACGCGCGCCCGGGGAAGCCCCTTAAAGTTCCACATTCGTCCACAGGGGGCCCGGACAACTGGCCGTATCTGCTAGGGGCTTACGCGATTCTAGTCATTGTGTGTTTACCCATACTGTTCATATTGCCGGAGAGCCCGAAGTACTTGTACGTTATGAAACGCGACGAAGGAAAAGCTTTGGAAGGTACTGTGAATTTCTGAATGAATCATGTAAATTTTTATAACATTTATATTATGATATATTTAGGATTGAGGAGAAAAACCCTTTAAAAAAACAATTTAAACCCTAAAATAATTTGTAATTCAAACTCTAATCGACTCTAATTCAACACAGGCACTGAAATAAATCACCAAATAACCAGAATACAGAAATAAACACTTAGGTATTCTCCTGACTTTAAGCCCACATTTACAGAGACTTGAAAACAATGACTCACGCTAATCATGTCCACGACTACCTTCCCTCACGAACGCTGCCGAAAGAATTAATTTTCGTTTTTTTTCCCTACCTATGATGATAGTCTTGAGAAGCTATTTCAGTGTAGGTGAGCTCACGGGGCTCAAACCTGATGACGTTGCTAACACGAACCCTAGCAAGAGCCGTGCTTCGCAGAATCTACCACCGGATCGGAAACGCGACCCATTGAGAAGATCCGGCGAGAAATTCAGTGGGCTGTGTCTGAGGCTTAATTTACTTGTCGAGCCTTTCGTCACAAGCGACGGGTTCGACGAGAACGATGACCGGGGAAACCATACAGATGCTTGGTAATTCACCTTTCTTAACAGAGTTGAGTCGTCTCCGCGGTGTTTCAATGAGCCTGCTGGCGTCAGAGCTGGAGACTCTTCGCGAGGAAGCGGCCACGGCGTCCGTCGTCCAGCGCTACTCGATGCTGCAGGTGGCGCGGGAGCCTGCCCTGCGCCTGCCGCTGCTCCTGGTGGTGGCGCTACAAGCGGGGCAGCAGACCAGCGGGATCAACGCGGTTATTACTTCTTCCTTGTTTTTTCAATATGGCAAACAGCTTCTTGCCATGCTATTGTTGCCAGAGTTAATAAAAATCTTAAATTATTACAATAAATACATACGTGTGTCTATCTAAAAAGATATGCAGCGGAATAAGATGAAGTTGATTTATTTGAGACTGTAATCTGTAGGGATACAATTGAAGTAAAACGAGATGAGATAAGATGAAATAAAGTTTCGGTAAATTGTGCTTATTTAATGAAATTTCAGTTGACTTTTAGGCAAAACCCGAAAAGCGACTTTCAGCGGTTTTGTATCATTTTCTCATACTTATGCATTTTATTACCGTTGTTATACGTTCAAATCTGAAGGAACACAAAAATAACAAAACAACACATACCACTTTTGCCATCACGTTCCCGCCCAAAATCGCGATAATCACTTGTCAGCTTGGATAGATTTATTTTTTATCTATTCAGACCAGTTAAAGGATCTTGCCCATAAAGGTCAAGTCTTGTACTTCAAGCTCAAACCTATAAGGGCCGCGAAAAATAAAATCAAATGTAAGAATTTCATAAACCTGTTGAGACAATCCGAGAAGCCATGTTCCTTCCTTCATATTTGTGCTTGTGTTACACTATACAAAAAAAAAGAAAAAACACACACTTGTAATCTCTTTATCGCTCGGATTTTATGACCTGGTAACTAAGACCTTTAAGTCATGTCTTATTTTGTTTTATATTCGTAATTTTATGAAAAATGATAATATGGAGTGAAATGAAATGAAATGAAATGAAGATGATTAATTTGGGACATTAATCAACTGGGATGAAATTAAATGAAATGGGATGAAATATATAATCTCATTAAAATGGTGGTCATTTACTGAGTTTTTTTCAGTGGACTTTTTGGAGGATCACGAGAAGTTACGTCCAGCGGCTTTGTTTCATTTTCCCACATTTGTGCACTTTCACAGATATTAAACAGTTAATAAACCACCGATACTATATATTTAAACCAGAGGAAACACTTAATAGACAAATTAAAGCAAATCACACAACTTCACTCCTCGCGTTCCCGCCAAAAAGTCCGCCAAATTGTTGTCACAGATACTATATAGATTACAGATTCTCCATAGATTACACGCTGAAGTACAAACATATACTGACATTTAAGATCGTGGATTATACACAGGAGTATTACCATACGTTAAAAAGCGAGTTTTTTTCTTTTTTCTTGGTTTATAAAAACTCACATCAATAAACGCAGCTCGCATCTACGGACATTTACGGTCATTGTAGACTTCGAAAAAATCTAAATGGCGCTCAGACCAGTCGTCCCCTAAGTCATTTTTCTTTCGCGCTCATATAAAAGATTTATAACAAATTCATCGAATGATTTCTCGATAAAATTTCCAGGTGTTCTACTACTCGCAAATGATGTTCGAGCAGGCCGGTCTGACGGCGTACCAGGCTCAGCTGGCGACGATAGCGGCGGGACTCGTGAACGTGTGCACGGCCGCGCTCATGGTGCGCCTCCTGCCGCGCGCCGGCCGCCGCCCCCTCGTGCTGCGCTCCGTGCTCGCCGCCGCCCTCCTCCTGNGAATGATTTCTCGATAAAATTTCCAGGTGTTCTACTACTCGCAAATGATGTTCGAGCAGGCCGGTCTGACGGCGTACCAGGCTCAGCTGGCGACGATAGCGGCGGGACTCGTGAACGTGTGCACGGCCGCGCTCATGGTGCGCCTCCTGCCGCGCGCCGGCCGCCGCCCCCTCGTGCTGCGCTCCGTGCTCGCCGCCGCCCTCCTCCTGGCCGCCCTGGCCGCCGCTCTCAACTACATGGTCAGTCACTGGAGCGGTCGTACGACAAGCTGATCGTTGGATCGACTAATGATAGGACAAACTGATCATTGGATCAACTATTAATAGGACAAACTGATCATTGGATCAACTATTAATAGGACAAACTGATCAATGGATCAACTATTAATAGAAGAAACTGATCATTGGATCAACTATTAATAGGACAAACTGATCATTGGATCAACTAATAATAGGACAAACTGATCTTTGGATCAACTATTAATAGGACAAACTGATCAATGGATCAACTATTAATAGAAGAAACTGATCATTGGATTAACTATATATAGGACAAACTAATCATTGGATCAACTAATAGTAGGACAAACTGATCATTGGATCAACTATTAATAGGACAACTGATCATTGGATCAACTAATAATAGGACAAACTGATCATTGGATCAACTATTAATAGGACAAACTGATCTTTGGATCAACTAATAATAGGACAAACTGATCATTGGATCAACTATTAATAGGACAAACTGATCTTTGGATCAACTATTAATAGGACAAACTGATCATTGTATAAACAATTAATAGAACAAACTGATCTTTGGATCAACTATTAATAGGACAAACTGATCATTGTATAAACAATTAATAGAACAAATTAAAAATCGACAGTTTCTAGATTTACAACTACGCTTTAAAATGTGAACTCTTTTGAAGATTTCACGAGTCAATAAAGAAAACCAACGAGCCTCTATATATTATATTCCGTTAAATTATATTTCAGGACGCGGCGCCCTGGATGCCGTACGTGTGCATAGTGGCCGTGTTGTCTTACGTCATCGCGTACGGGTTCGGTCTTGGACCTATAGCGTATTTTATTGCGTCCGGTGAGTTCATACTTAACATATTTCGATCTACAAATATTATAAGGTTTAGTTATACGTATAGATATAGAATATAAAAATGGGTGAAATCCATAACTTGAATTAATGAGTTTTTGTTTTGCTAACGGTACGTGCTGTCACGCCTACATTGACGCGTATACAGATTGGTCACTCACACAACTAAAGCGCACCGCGCAGTCGTACTTAGCAAACAACTATAACAAATTTAAAAGTCAGTCAACATTTAGACCGCGTGCGGCACTGTTCTGCCAATAGGGAATTCGGAAGTCAGTCAGTGAAATAATGTATGTAAATTAAGTTCTTTTAAATAAAAAGTAGGGAAGTGTGCAAAGTGCTTTTTTTATATCTGTCTGGGTCGGCTTCGTTAACAGCTCGACGCGGTAAGTCACTCACTCGTCTAATTCAATAGAACGTTTTGAGACGCGTTTTCCTCCCGATCCACTAACGGTGCTTTTAGGTACCCGAAGCGCCGGTCATCGTTCAAGTCGAACCCGTCGCTTGCGACGAAGGGCTCGACGAGTAAATTAACCCTCAGACACAGCCCACTGATTTTCTCGCCGGATCTTCTCAGTGGGTCGCGTTTCAGATCCGGTGGTAGATTCTGCGAAGCACGGCTCTTGCTAGGGCCAGTGTTAGCAACGTCGTCGGGTTTGAGCCCCGCGAGCTCATCTACTAGTTCGGTAAATCTAGAATAACCTACCTATTTCTGCCGTGAAGCAGTAATGCGTTTCGGTTTGAAGGGTGGGGAAGCCGTTGTAATTATACTTGAGACCTTAGAACTTATATCTCAAGGTGGGTGGCGCATTCACGCTGTAGATGTCTATAGGCTCCAGTAACCACTTAACACCAGGTGGGCTGTGAGTACGTCCATCCATCTAAGCAATAAAAAAACCCCTCGAGGTTACTAGAATAGGTAGGAAAAGAAAAAGAAGTCGGCAATTTCTACAATTCGTTTCAGAAATGTTCGAGGTGGCGCCGCGCCCCGCCGCCATGGCGTGGGGCTCGTTGGCGAACTGGGGGGGGAACTTTCTCATCGGAATGTCCTTCCAAACGATGCGGGACACCATCGGCGCCTACTCCTTTTTGGTGTTCTCCGCCGTTACCGCAGCCCTGTACGTCTTTGTGAGGTCAGTTATTTTGAACTTTTGATAATTAACTTCAGCGCACGATCATCAGGCTTAGATTAGGATAGTTGAGCTTAATATTCAATCGAGTTGGTTTTTTATTTATATCTAAATTCGTCTACTATATAATTCTTACGCACATCACTCCACCTCTCTAGGAGATCTGTAAGTGCGAGCGAGACAGACAGATCAATATGATTTATGACGAGGCTGTTCATAATGCGTCGACTTTAATAGTCACGGCATGCCCTTTCGTTATCTCTGTCTCGCTCACAACTCATACGTCTCTTTTTGCCTCGCTAACGTCTCGCACTGCACATCCATCATATACAGGATGTTTTTTTTTCTATTCCACTCTTTAGATAGTTGTTCACAACTACTTAGCATTAAATCATTACTAGAGCCCATAGATATCACATCGTGAAAGCGGCCAGTTTCTTGGAGACGTGAGGTCGATGTTGAATTCTCGATTAGAATCTGTTCGAACTCATCAACCCTCATCCAGCAGTCAGGAGCGCTAATAGCTGCACCACGGGTTAATCAATATCGGTTAAACGGTCGGGTTAATGAAACCAAAATCCTTTAAAACTATTACTTTTTACATTACGTTATTTGTGACTATTTAAATTGTCTATATGGACCAAAGAGGTTATCATTATCATTAAAATAGAATAGAAAAAAAGAAATAGAATTTATCATTAAAATATCAACTTGTATGTTTTGCAGACTGTACTTCCCCGAGACACGAGGAAAGACTCCGGCTCAAGTATCACTCCTATGCAGCCAAGGGTTCCGCTCCAGACCCCTCAGTACATCACAATTGCGTAATGCTGACGTATGACGTCATCGCGTACAGACTGTTTATTCTAGTATATTATTCGCGTATTTCAGTGTCTCTATACATTTTATAAACTAAGACTGGCTTGGTTTCTATTCTATTCTAATATTAATAATATTAGAATCCGACTGTTCATTAGTCTCTCTGTTAGTTTTTTTAAAGATTTATTAATTCTTACCCATTATAGTTAGTAGAAGTTGAACTTCGTAATGTAGAAAATTGTTTTGTTATTAAATGTGATTGTACTAAGACGCCATTAATCGCGATAAGCGTGTTAGCCAAATTATAAATGGATGTATATTTTTTATTAAATATAAATTCTCCACTGATAGTCGTACGAAAGAATAATTCTAGAACTAAATTTATTTTATAATTAAAGATAAATCGACGTGTGCATAATGCTCAATAACATAATAGTGTTAAGCAGAATTCTACCAAAATGAACGCTTCCATCATTTTACACGTTATAGTTTATTATATAAGTATTGTAACGTGATCAATATTACTATGGTTATACGGTTTAATCTTTCGTTTTGAATTGTCATTATGCGACTGTTAATGAAGATTAATGATAATTAGTAGAATTTTGTGACTACCGTCATTTTTTCTATAAAAATATATATCGAGCGGTGAATGATTACTTGGTTTAAGCGACATTTCGTGTAATCCGCGACATTTATCTTTATTTTTTTTTTATTGCCATATTTGGCAGACGAGCATACGGCCTGATGGTAAGTGGTCATCGTCGCTCATGGACATCAGCAATGCCAGGGGCAGAGCCGAGCCGCTGCCTACCGCTAAGTACTCTCCGCAAGCCTCGTTTGAAGAAGGACATGTCATAGCGCTGTTATTAAAGGTCCGTTTTATTTGGTATCAGTATCAACAATTCGATGTTTTAAATTGAACATTAATTTAATTTTACCCCATTTAAATAGTCGAAGAAGTTTTTTTGCTATGATTTTTTTTTCAAATTTTAAACTTTAAATAGCTTCTCCTGTAAAGTTGCAAATATATCGCTTAAAGCAAATAATCTTTTATCCCTCGATATTTATTCACGTTTCATTTGGTACCGAACGAACTAATAGCAGATTATTAACTTCTGACAGTTTCATTTAGTGAAGGTGAAAACCCAAGTATATGAAAAAATTTGGATTTTTTTTTGGGAAAAAGTCACGCATGGTCATCTGGCCTCGATTTAGTACTCCCTGTGTTACACGTATCAGGAACTGACAAACATATGTATATAAGTTTAAATATATACATATATAGATAATAAACACCCATACAAAAAGCAAACGAACCTGTGTACTTAGTGCGAGTTTTTTAACGTTGTCGCTAGCGTAAAAGTTAACTAAAATTTGTATTGAGTTGATCGTTTGCCTACGTTTGCCGCTAGGGGCGCTGTTCTAACTGCATACAAATTTCAGTTAACTTTTACGCTATCGAGAACGTTAAAAAACTCGCACTAAGCACACAGTTCATCACATTCGAGTCAGTCAAACACTGATTAATTACAAATACTAATTAATAAACAATGACAAAAAAAAACGCGAAATTAAACCGTAACAGTAGTTTTAATTATTATGTCAAAGACTCGCCTTAACCGAAGACACAATACTAAGTATTGTCACTTTACATAAATATAATCTTTATCCACCAATTTTTACTTAATTGTTGTTTATATTAAAAAAAAATCAAAGTACAAATGTTCTTAAATATACATTATATAAATTTACTATAAGCTTTGGTGTAATGTTTTAGGTTAGATAGCACAAAATATATATAAATAGCTTAAGTCAACTTTCACTCTGCGATATAAAATGTTTACAATTCAATTTTAATATTAATGTGTAAGTAAAACGAATCAAATTCGTGTTCGCAGTAATCCGAATTGAACCTTAACTGTGAAGATATAAAGTATAGTTTGAAATTAATTATATACAGGGTGTGTAAAAAGCGTTTTCGTAAATTAAAACAGGAGGTATTTTTTAATTGAGCATCAGCATCAAAATACTTCCAACTTCCGTTTGGGGAAAGGTATACAATATTAGCACGAATTTTCGAACATATACGCCAAATGACGTACTAACATTAGGTAAAACTGTCGCAAATCTAAAATCTCAGAATTTTGCTTAAATTTATTTAAAGAAAGATCTTTATATAAAGAAAACCAAATCCCGAACACAAAATAGAAATAAACCACAATACAACGAATATTTTTTACCAATTTTTTTTTATTGCCCCTGTAGGCAGACGTGCATCCGACCCACCTGATGGCGAGTGGCTACCGTCGCCCATGGACTTCAGCAATGCCAGGGGCAGAACCAAGCCGCTGCCTACAAAATAGATAGATTATATAGTATAGTATATAGTAGTATTTAGTAGAATAGGTTATATTATAGTATGTTGAAGTTTCGCGTCAAATGCAACTCTACGCACCGCACTAAATACTAGTAAAATATCGATCGTAAGTTTTTTTATTTTATTTTATCATATCAGAAATCACCTAGCGGTGTTCGTTTTCCAGAACTTTCTCAATCCATTCCGAGACACTACATAGATTTAAACTATGAACGATACCAAACTGTAATCAAATCACGGCAGAAATAGGGTGGTGGTACCTACCCGTGTGGACTCGCAAGAGGTCCTACCATTAGTAATTATAAAAATTATAATTTTGCGGATTTGATTTTTATTACACGATTTTTATTTATAAATATTTAGATTAAAATGGCTGAGCTATGGGCTTTTGTTATATTTAAAAAAAAACCGTTTTTGTGCGCTTACGTAGCCATGACTGCGTGGTCACGCAAATAGGTACTCTTTGCTTGGTACAAATACACAAGTTTATAATCCGTATGTTTTTTTTCTTTTTTATCGTCGGAAGGTCAGCGTGAGTGTCATATAATTTTTAACGCACAATCTGTTTCAAAGTTCTTTTTTGAATTTTAATTGTAGAACGTAAAATTATATTGAAGAACAATCCGTCGCACCAAATTAGTTTTAGAAAGATTACATTTAAAAAAAAAGACACTATATTTACTTTAATTTTCCAATGTAATATTACGATACGTCCGTTTGTTAATCGACGACTTTATAATAAAGTTTTTAAGTATATAACTCTTCTATTGTTTTATTTTATTTATTGCTGATGTAGGGGAATTATACCCCGCCCCGCTTAGCTCAGTATGCATTTATTGGGCATATAGTAATGAGCAGCATACGTTAGTCAGTCAGTGGTCAACGTGCAGCGATCCACCGCGGTCGCTGATGCGAATAAACATGTAATTACAAGTAATGTTTTATTGACCGCTCCGATGAGGTTTATGAAGGACAACACGCAAAAAACAACCAACGCACACGCTTCTTCATCCTTCATCTCCCAATGAACCTCACACTGGTGACCCCGACGTGATTAGTAACGACGCTTAGTAAGCTAAGCGGGGCGGGGTATCATTCCCCTACACTGATAAGGCGATAAGAGTGTTTGCAAGTCCGATTCCGTCAACGGAATGTAGACCCTGTTGTTATCGGGCATTCGGTTTTATTTATGTTGCTTGCACAAAAGCAGTTTACGACTGGTGGTGTGCTGCAGAACTAACCTGTTTTTTTTTTTTTTTTGTGAATGAGGGATTACTGATGACCCTGGTGCCTTTCCAGTTTCACCAAGACAGGTGGGCGAGCAAGCAGCTTGGTTCTGCTCCTGGCATTGCTGAAGTCCATGGGCGACGGTAACCACTCACCATCAGGTGGGCCGTATGCTTGTCTGCCTATAAGAGCAATAAAAAAAGGCTCAGCCAAGAACCTGCTTAGTTGATGAGTGTTGCCACGTTCATCAACGTTGTTATGTGACGTAGGATGGAGAACTTGCCCAAAATGTTAGTTATGGTTATACTTCATAAATATTCAATATGTATTTAGATTGGTTANATATATATATATATTATGCATTAATATGTAAGGTTCGTAGTTTATTGTTTTTGCTTTAGCAATTGAATTCGTTTTGTTATTCCTTAGGGCAATTTTGTGCAGTCTGTTGGTTTTTGTGATTAAAAAAAAAGCTATTTTGCAGATTTTTTTTTCAATACCAAATAAATTTCACAGGACCGATACGTTTACTGTTCACAAACAATAATATAATTGTTTAATACATAATTATTTTTAATAATTCATATAAATCGTTTCAGCATTAATTATTAACACTACATAATAGTATACATTTAATACACAGTCTGTATTACTATTTAATAGTGATACCCGTCAAAAAAACATTAGTATTGCCATAACAATAAATAGGTTACTACTTCCTTAAGTAGTCTTCTAATATCTTAAGCTGGTCCCAGCAGACCAACAGCAGGACGGTGTGCGGTCCGAGCCTCATGTAGTTGGCCCCGACTCCCTTGTACAGCGAAGAAGCGCCTTCGGACCTCACCATCTTGACGAAGCAGTCGATCATCCCACGGTACAGCAGCCCGCGGTTGTGGGCGTCCACAGCTGTGGTACAGTTACATACGTTGTGAGAGCCTTGTTTTATTTATGGCATAAATCGGCGATCTCACTCACGGCTTAATATTAAGTGGTTACTGGAAACCATTGAAATTATAGGTCGAAGTTACGCTGCTACTCCGCAGCAGTAGATGAGATGGCAGTACCTACCCATGCGGGCTCACAAAACGCCCTATTACCAGTAATTACGCAAAATATATTTTTTGTAGGTTTGTTTTTTCTGGTGGTAAGACTTCTTGTGAGTCCGCACGGGTAGGTACCACCGCCCTGCCTATTTCTGCCGTGAAGCAGTCATGCGTTTCGGTTTGAAGGGTGGGGCAGCCCTTGTAACTATGCTGAGAGCTTAGAACTTATATCTCAAAGTAGGTTGTGCATTTACGTTGTAGATGTCTATGGGCTCCAGTAACCACTTAACAACCAGGTGGGCTGTGAGCTCGTCCAGCCGTCTAAATTGTATCATATCCCTTTCATCCAGTTGTCTTCAATTACGTATATCATTAAAGATTTGGTACCTGAACGCGGGTTTGAGCATTGAGTTCGAAATGTAGATTTTTAATGTTCGTTAATTTATTGTGATAGTCAACTCCCCATAGACACAGCTCTCTGAGTTTTTCACCGGATCTTCTCAATGGGTCACGATTCCGATCCGGTGGTATATTCAGCGAACCAACAGCATTAACACTTCTCTCAAGTTAAGCCCGTGAGCTCACCTACCGGTCCGCATAAATTTGGAATAGCCCCACTACCAACGATTAGGTAGGGAGAAAAATAAAAGTCCCCATTGAACTCGTCGATTACGACGAAGAGTTCGACGAGCGAACTAACTCATAGACACAATGTCACAAAAACCACTGAGTTTCTCGCCGGATGAGGTTGAGAACTCTCGGGTTGAGCCCGTGAGCTCACCTACACGTCGGGCCGTAGCTGGAATAGCCTCTTAGGCTACCAGCGAATAGGTGGGGAGAAAAAGGGGAGGGGAGGGGAAGGGGGGAAAACACTAGAATCGGTTCACCTAAGAAAAAGTTCTGAGGCTAACTTGCCTTGATTAGA